TGGGAGAGAGAACGAACATCGCCTTGTTGTATGTCTGAGAGATATATGGATATTGTCATATTATCTACTCAGATATACTTCATTGCGTTGATTCTGATGAGCATCAACCTTCATCCCTTCATAAATCCATCCACTCTGAAATGACGTCATCAATCATCATTGAATGTGGGGGTATTGAAATGGTCGACGGTTTTCCTACAAGTGCGCCTTCGTTAAAAAGTTCTTGTAGCCATATCCCTGCCTCAAGGTTTTCCAGTCTTCAATAACGAAAAATGAGCCAGCCATTGACAAGGACAGAGAATAAGACCGTTTCAAAAAATCCAAATACCAATACCATCATCAGCACTACTGCCGTCACTACTGCTACAATGCTGGTACCGGTATGTACTAATAATCGTGGAAAGAACATGTATACATGTTTTATGTACGTCATTATAGAAGCCTCACCGATTTGATAGGTTATTCTTGCTGTTATCCGCAGCTTGAATTCTGTATTAAAGACATTGTGTACTTTCATACATATATGCCGAAATTATATTCGATACAGTAGGGCGTGAAAACTGCTAATATTCAGCATCGAATATTATCGATTCAGCATCGCAATATTATAGATTCGACATCGATTAATGAATATTCGGCGTCGATTAATGGATATTCGGCGTCGATTAATGAATATTCGGCATCGATTAATGTGAATGCGGCGTCGATTATTGTAGATTCGACGTAGATTAATGAATATTCGACGTCGATTAATGCCGATTTGGTTACAACTACCTGAGATTCGACATCGATCGATGAAGATTATTCGATTCAACAAATTATCAGGTGCAGAAACTTCGACGATCTTCGCTGAATCGGCATAGAAAGTTCCTCGATAATCGTCGTCGCGCCCCGCGACATATCCCTCTCCGTTGCCCACTCCAAATGGGGATTTGCCCTCGTCGATCGAGCAAGAATCTGCATTAATTTCTTCATCGATCCGTTCTAATCTTCATCGATCGATCAAGGCCTACTTGACTGGGCGTGCATAATACGTCGAATTTTACATGTGATAACATTCCTTTATCATTCACACTTATCCAGTGCATCCTGTGACAATTGTGGCAGCTCTGCAATATGCATGCATGCAATATGTGTGGGGCTTGATCAAGTCCCGGGTTCTCGGTTAAAAAAGTGGTTCGTCAATCGAAGGTTAATGATTAGTTTTTTGATCGGAAGACAGCAAGCAAATTTTCGATGACCAAGATTCAAAATGAAATTGTGGGTTAATGGTCGGAAACTGTGATTTAAGCTGGTCATGCAAACTGTGGTAATGAGCTCACTTTTCTACCTACTTATACTCATTCTTCCTACTCATTTCTACTAAGTGGTATAAAAATTCAGGCAATTAATTTTCAATAAAATTTGTGTGGTAATGATATCTTAACTAGTTTTTTAACTGATCTTTCAAATCAGGAAGTTTTCCGTGGATTACCCTATACAAGAAGTCACTAGAATCTGACACTACACACATGTCATAGAGATCATTGATTCTGATTCTCTTGAGGCCCAACTGTTGCACTCACTCTGGTCTTGGGCCTGGTGGACTAATTTTCCCATATATGAGCAAGTCGTTGAAATATTTGTTTAAATTTTATTTTGTTCATACGATTATTGTTCGGTTTTGGGAAAAATCATAATATAAATGACAACAGAAGGCAAATTCCCGACGAAGAGCTTCACTCAGATAAACATTTACTCCGAAAACGTCCAAACGCTGAAAAAAAAGTCTCACCTGAGAGCGAGGGTTGCACTGCCCCAGCACTCAGCCAAGACCACCGTCAGCACAGGCACCTTCATCTCTCGGATGCAGGTCCTAACGGGGGAGGGAAGTGTTACCTCAATTGATAAAAAGACGCTCCTTACTTGATCCCCTGACGTAGCTAAAGGTTCGTTAGATTGTTTTCATGGTTTCGACGATTAAATGACTCATTTTGGAGAATGCAAGCCATGCATAAAAAATTAATACATGAATAAATTGCTGTTTTAGAGTCAATGTAACGCGTTTATCAGAATTACTCATTTATACGAATGGAGTTGCATACCGCATATTTTTAACTAAGTATTTTATATCCACATTTTCCTAACATCACTAGGAATGGCTATCATAACGCAATTCCAAAATTAAACAAACTTTGCTGTACTCTCGACTGTTCCAAAGCCACTGAAAAACAAAAAAATATTTTGAACTAACGAAATTCAAATTTTTAGAGCATAGGTAGATTAGGTTTTAATATATATGTGAATTATGCTCGTATTCCGAACAAGTATGATAATTATTGTCAGTAAACGAGCCACCAAACTAGACACGTCAAAGTTATGAATACTTTCTCTCTCCAAGCATTCCCTAGTTCACCCCAGTAGCGGACTATACAAGATGGTTGAAAACGGAGCGTATCCCGTGCGCCAACTTTGCCTAATTTCACACTCTACGAATATTCCTTTCCGTAGACAAGCTCAGTAGGTTCATAGCAACCTGTGAAGTCGAGTGCTTAAAAACACTGCGACGGATAGCTATACACAGCCAACGCTTAAGCGTTTTCAAGTAATGCATTGTCATTCCGCATCTGATCTAAACCTCTTCCGAGCCTAACCTACATACTATGCAACATTAATCCCAAAAGCAACCTCAGCGGACCTAACTTAACCTCATAGACTGCCGGAAGTAGGAAAGGCGGTTAAATAGAGCAAGTAGAACCGGTTATTGGCTACAAAAAAAGTTGCGAGTCGGGGCATCGTGAATAGGTTAAGCCAGAAGAGGGTAGGCCACAGTAGGTGAGACCGGATGCTGACCTGCCTGCTAATGTGCGAGCGTACTCAAGTATTGACTTTAGACTTACGGCGCTTTCATGCTCAAGTGGTGTGCCGCTAGTGTGCTACGGTGTTCTTGCGTAGTCTGTGGCTTCTAGTTCTGCATTTGAATAAAGTTGTTGCATTATGAGGCTGAGCATTGGCTCCAGCGTTTATTTAAGAGCTAAATTTGTGGCCAACGGCGGCGTACCTTTAATAACTCAATAACGTCAGCTGGTAATCGGCAGCGAGAGCACTGGTCGGTATAAAAATGCCGAATAACTAAGTAAAATCAGCCAGGAATGTGAGCACAGCAGTGCAACAACAATTTTGAACGTCAATCAGATCTGGACTGAACGCCCAGAATACGTAAGGCCACAAATCCGTCTCCGAATGAGGCTGTCAGTGGCTCACTCTAACATTCTATTTTATATATGTGGAGATTTTCTCTACAAATTACGGAAGTGAATAGCCCAGGTACCAATGCCTATCCACCAATAAACGTCACGTCGAAGCGTCACTTAATTTGTACCCGTACCAGCACTCGACCTGTTCCAAACTTGCCTCGTGCCCTCGCATTGCGTCCAATATTCATAGCTCCCCAGATAGTTGCATGAAACCTGCCGGGCACCGCCATGCCACTTATCGAATAGGCCTTTCGCACCAGCTGGCCGGTGTGCTCATACTTAAAATACTGTAAAATCGCAATCTCGTTGGAAACACTATCACTCCGTTAAAATACATTACCAATATTAGCTAACTGAATCTATTCTTGGAACGTAAAGTTGGGCTCCCTATTCCATCATACATTCCGGCCATTAACTTTTCATTTAGGGGCTGATTCGATGCTGAAGACGGATACTCGCAGCTTAGTGGAGGGAGAATTCTGGAACGTGACTACAAACTCTATCTGATTGTTGTATAATAATTGGCGATGCTGGGTCATACCATTCTTTGCTAGGGCTGGTTGGTTTTATTCAGTGAATATTGTCTGTCTTTTATAGCTTACGACTTGCTAACACGATAGCCCAGAATTGTTGGGAGCTACGCAATTGTAGGAAAGGATCATGTTAGGCCAGCTCAGGTTAACGGTAACTCACAGCTGCAGATCCTGATCCCCGCAGGCTTGTACATTGATGTCCACGCCTGGCGCCTTTCTCACGGAGCAACGAGGCTTCCCGGACTCTGACGTGGTTGAATTTACACAAGTAAATAATTTAATTTATAAGCTGGAATATGTCATGGAGAATATAAATTGATTTTTTAGCATGGATATGGAAATCTTCGCAACCATCAGCATCTGTACACGACTCCGTGACGTTGTGCAGTTCGTGACATGGTAAACACACGTGTTCCATGCCGGGCACGGAACACGGGCACAAGGGGGCGTCACAGCGGGACTGCGGCCCTCCTACAGCAGGAAATGATCCATGCTAATTAGGAATTTTGCTGAAAATATCGAAATATATTTAAAAAAATTAAATTGAACTCCCCAAAAGAAGAGATAAAGATTGTGGTAATGCTAGATCTCTCTGACCTGCTGGTCCTGTCGTGTTGGATGTCGCCTTAGCAGCAGAACATGCGTGGTTGGCGTCAGCGGTGCAGCTTTGTACCTGCGTGTCATGAGACGTTTGTATTACCACAACTGAGCTGAATAATTTAGGCATAAAGTCTATGCTATTTTCATGCATGTAAATGCACTGGCGATCACTCAATTAAGTAATTAATGTCGAGAGATATGCAACATTCAACTAGTATAGGAATTACGCATATATACCATCACACTTGCTCCAATCTGCCAAACCAATTGACCGAACCAGTAAATTGTGCAGAACTGCGGTGGTGCAATGGTGACTCTCGAACCACGCTGCCGAGTTCGAGTCCTACTGAGGAGTGGGACTCGAGTCCCACGCTCCAGTCCCACTCTCGATTTCGAGTACCGCAAGTTCTTCCAGGAAGCTCAGCTCATGGCCAACTCAGCCACTCATTAAATTTCGGCGGAAAAATGAGCACCTGGCTTGTCCAGGAGGTTTTATAATGCGATAAAAGTAAATCAAGAGGGTCAGGGAGCCAGTGATGGTCGTAGAACAATTACGTGAATCAGTTGCACTGATAATTTATCGCCGTTAACGTTCAATTGAGGACCGATAAACTTGATATTGGAGGTCACCGGCACGCTTAACCCTATTAGTTCAACTCACTTGGCAGCACTGCTAGATTAATCTCTTTAGCACAGGCCTACATTAACCCGAGGATGTTTACTCACCACTCTGGTAATGACTCAGCCTTTCAGACGCGCTATTTTTTGCGTGGAATAAAAACAGACTTGCCGTAAAACTGGTTTTTCATGGTAAGCTCAATCATTTCCCGCCATGTATTAATCGAAACTACTTCATTGCTCTTAATATATCCGACTCTGTTTATCAACGAATTATTCTTCCATGATGATAGTTATTTCCAACTTGCAGCTGCCTATAACATAGACCGCCTGTGCACTTCGTAAGACAAATCCCTAGTTCGAGTGTCGCCTCAAGTTTGTATGCTCTTGAAATTGTAAATAGTTAGGCCTGTCGATTTGTGTTTTTCATGTGATTTGTTTCCATATGTCAATTTAGAATTTTAATACCTGCAATGTGAATATTAGTTTACTAACTGATTATACATGTGTTATACTACTTGAATTCGCTATTTTAATTGCTTATAAATTATTTGCAATTATTTACAGTGATTACGTTGCTTTCGATATGCCCTTTGCAACGTTTAGAAAAGTGTCTGATGACATTTTAGGATTTCCTCTCAGTTTTTTTGTCGATCAACATGGATGAGCACCAATGCTCTAGAAAATATTAATACAATTTGAATCAATTATATTTCAATTATATTTCAAATTCATGCGGATTAGCTCGGTATCTGCGATGGATTGAAAGTGCAACAAGTCCGATCAATTGGGTCGCTGTGTAGGCTGTGTTGGGTCACTGTGTAGGTCGAGAGGTCACTGTGTAGTGTGTAGGCCGTAGATAAAAGATATGCGGGCTAGCTCTCTTTCTCTCCACCAGGCATTATAGTTTTCAGAACCTACCTCGAGTGAACCAATAAAGGTCTTGGCTTTATTGATCAAGTTAATTGCGAAAACTAGCAGCAGCAAAAAACGGCCTTAAAATCCTGCTTCCTTAACCCAGTTCGAAATTCTCGCAGCGATTACGGCCGATCACCGCAGGAACCCTCACAAACGGGCAAAAATTGGCCGAACTTGCCGACTTTAGCTCGCGTGCAGTATTAGGGTGATTCGGCCGTAGCGACCCGTGGCCTCGGTCGTTTCTAGACTCCAGCGTCTCGAAATAATTTTCTCGAAATGAACCGGGACAGACGAAACGAGACGAGAAAATTCCGGGAAAAAAATAACGGGACAGAGGGTGAAATTTGTCCCGGAATAAACGTATGAACCGAGACAAGCCTTCTGTCCCGGACTATAAAACTTGTGTCCCGGTAAATTATAAACCGGGACGAGACAGACAGATTTGAAACGAGACATAACGAGAAGAGACGAGATTTGTCTTAATTATTGAAGACAAAACAAGTTTTTCGATTACGATACGAATCATTTCGAAAACATGGGTTGAAGAATGACAAGTTTGCCTTTATAGCTAATAGGGCCATAGACAGTTACCAGTTAAATTGAGTTAATTGCAGATTTAGCAAAATTTGTCTGACTAACTGACATGGCAGTTAATTAGTGGTCCGACAAACAGCGCAAACATGTCGATGTATGCATGGCTGAGTATTGAGTCAAAAATGTTACTCTTAAGTCTTAACTAAGGCTTCGATGGCACTTATGGGAACCGTACTAATATGAGTCGAGTTTATTACGCATTCGGAACGAGTTCAGGCGCCGTGGTGCGCATAGGGAGTAGGGACGCAGTGTCTAGATTAGTCGGCCAATTAGTAGACAGTGGAGTTGATTCCTGATAATATATTCCTAATAATGCTAAAGCTAGTATTAGATTATCTCTGCCTTTAGTAAAATTTTGTGCTACGCCTCCAGGAAATCTTCACAATTGCGCAGTTTCCTGAATTGTTATCAAACACTTGGGCTTGTTTAACGTTACTTAGAAAGGATACACATGGAATTTTCGAGTTCTTTTTTGAAGATCAAATTATTATATTTTTTCCAACTTAAATTTTGTTGTATTTTAAAATGTTATTGATATTTCTTTCCAGACTTTTTTGTTGAAATAGATTGCTTAAGGCAAGATCGATGAATCTGATTCTGTGATAGAGCTGGAGGCAAATCAAAGTCTGTCCAGTCAGCCGATGTCACTAGCTACAGCTAGTATGGCCTCCCCCAAACCATCATAGAACACAATTTTTGAAAAAAAAGTGTTTTTCCATTTTTGTTCGCCTGTCAATATTAAGTATCATATTAAACCACAACATGTATTCGTAGAAAAAATCATTTCAATTGCCGAGCTCCAATCAGAATAGTACAAGGATACGTCTCAAGTTATTTTATAAATGCAGAGGTGGGCAGTAGCGTGCTACATGTAGCGGCCGCTACATTTTCAGTAGCGGTAGCGGCGCTACATTTAAGCAATTGTAGCGGTAGCGCACGCAACATTTGGAGCATGTAGCGGTAGCGGCCGCTACATTTCAAAGTAGCGCTGCCCAGCTCTGTATAAATGTATGATGGTGAGCCAAAGTTTACACCACATCAATAATTGATGCGTCTCGTTATGTCTCGTTAAAATGGCTATAAATTCCGGGAAATTTTAATGTACCTATTTTAACCGGGACGTCTCGTCTCGTCTCGGTATCGTCCCGGAATTCCTACGGAGGGCTGAAAATTGTCCCAGTTTTTATTGCGAACCGGGACAGAGTCTGTTGTCTCGTCTCGTCTCGTCTCGGATAAGAAAAAATACCAAACGCTGGAGTCTAGTCGTTTCTTCGCAAGAATTTCATACGCTCGCGGCGCGGCAGCTTAAACCTTTTCGGCCGCGGTCGATTCTATCGTCGTTTGGGGGTGCATGGGTAAGGGGGTGGGTCAATCGGGACAAAGAGGGGGCAGTTTATAATAGTTCGTAGAACATACCAACATCTTACTTTTCACTTGTTCGCAACTTGTGTGATAGCACATATTAATTGATAATGGCAACCACTATTTTAAAATTTGAGGTGACCTTGGATTATGAATAAGCTAAAAAATGTTATCGACAAAGAAAAAAAAATAATTTATCGTCACATTTGCACCCACTCACGAATTTTTTTTAAAGAAAATTTATACCAATACATTTTCGAATGTCCACTCAATAGCGAAACAATAAATATTTAAGCTATGCATTAATATTGTATCATAAGATCTATTCAGCAAATACTTTTTACAGTCATTCATTTGGCAGGGTTGACTACCCTGTGGGGCGCGAATGTTCTGGAAGCCAATGGCGTCTTAGCTGAATGCTGGTGGTTAGACGTTCTGCGTACTGTTGCTCTAAGAATTGTCATTGTCAATAGTTGTGGAACATTGAATTCGTGGGAAAACTTTTGTTTTGGATTAGTAACGAATGGCTGGGGTGGTTTTAAATTGTCTACTGGAACTTCTGATGAAATGTAACTAACTTTATCATGGAACACATTTGTCAAATCATGATACCAGTACAGGCGGTGCTTCGTCCAGGATACTCCATTGGTCAATGGGACTCAATTCACTCAAAATTGGAAAGTCTAAATAGAAGGTCCCAGTTTTGTCACTATGTTGTGGCCTTGAAACAATTTTTTCTATGTCTTGAAGTGGAAAGTTAATTATTCCCCTGAAAAATCAAGAAGCTGGAATTGGAATAATTGGAAGAAGCTGGAATTGGAGAATATTGGAATTGTAGTCTCATTTTTTTAACTTTATCATTTATGTCCAATATTCAGAATTGCCCTTCATGCCTTCCAGTTGCACACTGTTGAAATCTGGGTAAAATTATGGGATCATAGTCATCATTAAGAGGATAGTGTCAAAGCTGGGCTTTTTTTAGACTTTTTCACGTTCATTTATGAGTCCTATTATAGAAGACTGGGAAAGCATCATGGGCATGGATACCTTCAAACGGGGTAATAAGGGACGGTTTTGAGCGTTTTTACAACACTTCTCTTTAACTTCACTTCTTGTCTGTCTGTCTGTCTGTCTGTCTGCTACAAATCTTGCAATCAAAATTTAATACACTTCTACTTATCCTATCGATCTGAAATTTTGCACACTTGTGTAAAGTTGGAGACAATGCATGAATCAAATGTCAAAATAAAAATTTTAATATTAAAAAAATTAAAAAAATAATTTTGCCAGCTACAAATCTTATAACTGATATTTGACACACTTTTACCTGTCTGATTGATCTGAAATTTTGCACACTTGTGTGAAGTCAGAGGCAATGCATGAATCAATTAACAGAATAAATTATTTTGAAAAAATTATATATTAAAAAATTGATATATTAAAAAAAATTGAAAAACTAAATTTTTAATTTGAAAATTAAATGAGAAATTCATTGTACATTTGTGAGATTGGAGACACTGGATTCTTTGGAAGTGTTGTCTTTAAAAAGTAATTTTTAAACGCATATT